GCCCCGCCCCGCCCGCAGGTGATGCTGGAGCAGATGCAGGGGGTGGTGCGCCTGGAGCTGTCCGGCTGTAACGACTTCACCGAGGCGGGACTGTGGTCCAGCCTGAGCGCCCGCATCACCTCGCTGAGCGTCAGCGACTGCATCAACGTGGCGGACGACGCCATCGCGGCTATCTCGCAGCTGCTGCCCAACCTGGCCGAGCTGAGCCTGCAGGCCTACCACGTGACAGACACGGCGCTGGCCTACTTCACGGCGCGCCAGGGCCACAGCACGCACACGCTGCGCCTGCTGTCCTGCTGGGAGATCACCAACCACGGCGTGGTCAACGTGGTGCACAGCCTGCCCAACCTCACGGCGCTCAGCCTGTCAGGCTGCTCCAAGGTCACCGACGACGGCGTGGAGCTGGTGGCCGAGAACCTGCGCAAGCTGCGCAGCCTCGACCTCTCGTGGTGCCCGCGCATCACCGACATGGCGCTCGAGTACGTGGCCTGCGACCTGCACCGTCTGGAGGAGCTCGTGCTGGACAGGTGGGGCCGGCCCTGCGGCAGGGCGGGGGTGCCGCGGCGCGTGGGCTGCGGGGAGGATGCCCGGCAGGCGGAGGGGTCCTCTCCAGAGCCCGCACGCTCTGGTCAGGTGGGGCTCAACCCGCGGGGGTGAAGCCCCAGATGGGGTGGGGCCAGGCCGGTTGGGGCCACGTGGGAGGGGCCGTGGGGGCGGGCTCGGGAGGCGGCGGGGCTAAGGGGCGGGGCGCGGGGGTTGAAGGTGGGCAGCCCTCTCTGTGCGATCACAGGTGTGTACGCATCACGGACACTGGCCTCAGCTATTTGTCCACCATGTCGTCCCTCCGCAGCCTCTACCTGCGATGGTGCTGCCAGGTACCAGGCCCCCGAAGTTGGGGGCAGGCCGGGTGGTCTGCAGGGGTGTGGGGACCTCTCGGCAGTCGGCTGACCTGCCCCAACACTGGTCAGTCTCTTAGAGGTCTGGGGCAGCTTGCGCCTACGCGCCACAACGGCGGGACTCCCACCAGAGCCCCCCAGGTGCCTCCTGGCTAGGGGCTAAGGGACGGCGCACCGCTCCTGGCGGCCGGTAGCTCAGGCCTGAGGCCTGTGCGCGGGAGCTGAGCGTCGCTAACTCGCCCCGCCCACCCGCTCAGGTGCAGGACTTCGGGCTGAAGCACCTCCTGGCCATGCGGAGCTTGCGTCTCTTGTCCCTGGCAGGTGAGGCCCCTCCTACCTTTTGGGCAGTGACCCGCC